CAAATGGTATGCGATATGACCTCCTTCGACCAGCCTCATGACCTGAGGGGCTCTGACCTGCCCTTGACCCGAGGTCAATACCTTAGGTTGACCTAAACCAAACAAAAAAAATATCATTCGACGCGCCTTAGCAAGGTAAGCACGATGATAGCGGTTAGTAGTGTCGTGCACGTCGGTTCGTAGCACACCCACTCGGGTCTGCACGTGCAAGGCTCGTCCTCCGTTTGGCGGCGGGCGTTTTTGCTGCGTGCACGGGTGAGTGGGTTACAGAGGTTAGAGTGCAGTGCACGTCAGTTCGTAGCACACCCACTCTGGTCTGCACGTGCAAGGCTCATCCTCTCGTTTGGCGGCGGGTGTTTTGGCGGCGTTACAGAGGTGCTTGCTCAAACAACCTGCGGTCCCGCGATGCGGAGCCCAGCATCGCAGATGCTGGTAACCGCAGGTTGTTTGAAAAGACAAACACTATTCGTTAGAATTGTGTTTTTCTATTGAAAAACAACCGGAGCGGTCCTTCTCCGGGCTATGTTTTGCAAGTCTGGCAGCGAATTGGGGCAACTTGAGCGGGGCCTAGACGAATCGCTCAATCTTCGTAAAAATTTCAGGGTATGGGCTCCCGCAGGCGATCTACCTGATGGCACCGGTCGCTACTCGCTTAAAACCTCGTGGCACGTGGCACGTGCGATTCCATTTTCCCCATGTTAAGTCAACGGGGTTTTGGACACTTTTTGCGCGATCGCCAATGGCGGGAAAACGAGCCAAGGAAGAGGTGGTTTTCTTCCCAGCATTTTATGGCAAACACGATTGGGTACACGCTAGTGTGCGCCGTATACCCCTCAGAACTTCGTAACGTGTCTTTGCACGAGGTCAAAGTTGAACTTTTTTCGCTCCCCATGTTAAGTCAATGGGCGTTTTTGCAGAGGCTTTTTCATTCGCTCATTGTACAAAATTATATGATACGATTTTGTTTAAACTTTCAGGACTTGTTGAGAAAAGACCATAGAACATGTTGTTATGCTTCGTTAAGCTGTCAGAATTCGTTTGTTCTTTTTGAGCTCGTTTAAAGAAGATTTTTTTTTAACATGCAAAGTCAATGGGAGCTTCTTTGCTGCTTAATAACTTTTTACGTTTAAGATATGTTTAAGTGAAAAGTTGATATTTTATACAACTTTTGATGCTCTTTCCAATGATATATACAACGTTATTGCACGTGCTGCCGTTTTTGAGAAATATAGTAAAAAAGCACGACATTACCGAGATTTGAGCTCAGACCTATATCGTTACGGTGTCAGGCGGACACGAGGACAGGTGGCGCCGCCGCCGCCCGCATAGCGGCGGGAATGTGAACTAACCTGTTTACCATCTATGGTATGGTACCATCGGGGGACCGGCCGCCGTCGGCACCATTTCGGGACTTTGCATCGCAATAAAAGGCTTATTTACAATTGAAAATGGACTAGCGAGAGTCGTTATGGAATCAGAATTTGATGCTCTACAAAACTAGGCTATTTTCATTGTGATGGCATCACAGACTACACCGCTAACCCCAATAAAGCAGATTTATGTCGCGTCATCGATGATTACATATAATGTTTCTTTGATATATATGTAGTCGGGTCTTTCAGCTGCGTCCCTCCCCTCCCTCGCCGCGCTGGCGGGTCGGCCATCCGCGGCTTGCCGCCCGCCGGCTGCTGGCCGGTCAGCTGGCCGGTCAGCTGGTCGCCCGCGGCTGTCGGTGCAGTGCGGGATGCCTACTTGCGGGGGGCCGTCGTGGCGGCGGCCCGGGTGGACTGGGCGAGCAGTGAGTTGGGGAGCGCTGCGCTGTCTGGTGCTCTAGTTTGTATTGCGCTCGCATGATACAGCTTGAGCCAATACAGAGTGAACTGATTGAGCTGAGCAAGTCTTTATATACATTGAAAAGTAAAGCACTTTTTACTGCATCTACGGTGAGATGCTAGAGAAAATTTATGGCGTACCTAATGGTACCGATTACTTAACAATTAAGTGAATCATTTCGTCGCTAAACTCTCGTAAATTCGTATGTCCGCCTCACTATGGAGTTTGGACCGTAACGTATGGCCTTTGCTCAGACAGTATACGAACAGGTGACGGGGATACCTCCCATAGAAGGATGCGACACGATTTTACTGCTAAATAGCGGCCGGCCGCCGTGGGGAGTCTGGGGACGTTTTTGTACGACTTATATCTCGGCAACCACTGGGCTGATACACTTACGGTTTTTTGTGTGGGGTAGCTTTTTCCCTTCTTTCATATAGTGTGCTACTCTCGATGCATATGGGTGACCCCTAACGCACGTTCCACGTGCAAAGCCAAGAGGTGCCTGCTTTGTAATAAGCGCAATAGCTCGGTAATTACTGGGCCGATTGCGCTAAAACTTGGCATGGAGGTAGACACTTTCCAGGCGATGCATTTCCATGTGTCACGGTTGGGGTGCCGCTGCACGTGCGCACGGGCAGGGTGACGATTCCAGATCTCGAGAACGGCTGGGCCGATTGTGATCAAAGTTGGCACACCGTTAGGGCTCGGCGAGTAGGGTGCCGTGCACAAGTCAGATGGGACCCAGTTTGCACGTGCGCACGTGCAGGCTGACGCTTCCATATCTCAAGAACGGCTGGACCGACTGTGCTCAAATTTGGCATACCACTAGAGACTGGTTAGTAGGGTGCCGTGCACAAGTCAGTAAGTATGTATTTTCATGTGCCGCGGTTGGGGTGCAGCTGCACGTGCGCACCTGTAGGGGTCGCTTCCAGATCTTGGAAACGGCTGGGCCGATTCAGATTAAATTTGGTACATCGCTAGAAACCGGCGAATAGAGTGCCGTGCACAAGTCAATTGGGGCCCAGGCTGCACGTGCGCACGTGCAGGGTGTCGCTTCCAGATCTCGAAAACGGCCGGGTCGATTGCACTCAAATTTGGCACACCGCTATAGACCGGCGAATAGGGTGCCGTGCACGTCAGTCCGTAGCACACCGACTCCGGTCTGCACGTGCAAGGCTCATCCTCTCGTTTGGCGGCGGGCGTTTTTGCTGCGTTTACAAAGGTGCTTGCTCAAACAACCTGCGGTCCCGCGATGCGGAGCCCAGCATCGCAGATGCTGGTAACCGCAGGTTGTTTGAAGTAGACAAACACTATTCGTTAGAATTGTGTTTTTCTATTGAAAAACAACCGGAGCGGTCCGTCTCCGGGCTATGTTTGCAAAGTTGGCCTGAGATTGGGGCAACTTGGGTGGGGCCTAGACGAATCGCTCGATTTCCGTAAAAAGTTCAGGGTATGGGCTCCCGCAGGCGATCTACCTGATGGCACCGGTCGCTACTCGCTCAGAATTCTTTTGCGCGTGGCACGTGCGTTTCCATTTTCCCCATGTTAAGTCAACGGGGTTTTGGACACTTTTTGCGCGATCGCGAATAGCGGGAAAAATCGCAGGTCAAGGTATCGTTTGCTGCACACCATTTTATGGCCGACACGTTCAGGTACACGCCCCTGTGTACCGTATACCCGTAAGAAGTCGATATTTTTTGTAGTACGTCTTTCAAGTTGAACTTTTTTCGCTCCCTATGTTAAGTCAACGGGCGTTTTTGCAGAGACATTTTCATTCGTTCATTGCACAAAATTATATGATAAGATTTTGTTTAAACTTTCAGGACCTGTTGAGAAACGACCATAGAACATGTTGTTATGCTTCGTTAAGCTGTCAGAATTCGTTTGTTCTTTTTAAGCTCGTTTAAAATTGAAATTTTTTAACATGGAAAGTCAATGGGAGCGTCTTTGGTGCTTAATAACTTTGTACGTTGAAGATATATTTAAGTGAAAAGTTGATAGGATATACAACTTTTGATGCTCTTTCCAATGATATATAGAGCGTTATTGCACGCTTTGCCGTTTTTGAGAAATTTAGTAAAAAAGCACGACTCTATCTAGATTTGAGCTCAGACCTATATATGGTCTTGGCTCAGACAGTATACGAACAGGTGACGGGGATACCTCTCATTGAAGGATGCGATTTAATGCTAAATATTAGCAGCCGACCGCCGTGGGGACGTTTTTGCAGGAGTTATATCTCCGCAACCACTGGACCGATTCACTTGCGGTTTTTTGTGTGGGGTAGGGTATACCCTTCTTACAAGCAGTTTACTATGCACGATGCATGCGGGTGACCCCCACTGCACGTGACACGTGTAAAACGGAGAGGTGTCACTTTTGTTGTAATGACAATACCACGGTAATTCCTGGGGAGATTCTGCTGAAACCACACAAGGATGGAGGCACCCGCCGGACCATGCCTTTCCATGTGCTACGGTTGGGGTGCAACTGCACGTGCGCACGTGCAGGGTGACGCTTCCAGATCTCGAGAACGGCCGGGCCGATTGTGCTCAGATTTGGCACACCGCTAGAGACCGCGCAGTAGGGTGCCTTGCACAGGTCAGCTGGGCCCCAGGCTGCACGTGCGCACGTGCAGGGTGACGCTTCCAGATCTCAGGAACGGCTGGGCCGATTGCATTCAGATTCGGCACACCTTTAGAGACCGGTTAGTAGGGTGCTGTGCACAAGTCAGTTAGTTTGTATTTCCGTGTTTCACGGTTGGGGTGCAACTGCACGTGCGGCCGTGTAGGGGTCGCTTCCAGATCTTGAAAATGGCAGGGCCGATTTAGCTCAAATTCGGTACACTTCTAGAAACCGGCAACTAGGGTGCCGTGCACAGCACAATTGGGACCCAACTTGCACGTGCGCACGTGAAGGGTGCCGCTTCAAGATCTCGAAAACGGCCGGGCCGATTGCACTCAAATTTGGCACACCACTATAGACCGGCGAATAGGATGCCGTGCTTGTCAGTTTGTAGCACACCCACTCCGGACTGCACGTGCAATGCTCGTTCTCTCGTTTGGCGGCGGGCGTTTTTGCTGCGTTCAATGGTGAGTGTCACAGAGGTGCTTGCTCAAACAACCTGCGGTCCCGCGATGCGGAGCCCAGCATCGCAGATGCTGGTATAGAATTGCTAATCTGTGAGTGTCTGTGAACGTCCCCATTCGACCCCGTTCGACCTCGATTGTATTTCGATATAGGTAGTTATTTTTATATGGTGTGACCAAGGGATTATTCCCGAAACACATGTGTAACCAATTTTAATATAAAAACAACACGTTCCCATTGCCTTTCCCGTGCTCAGATTTGGCACACCGCTAGAGACCGGCGAATAACCGCAGGTTGTTTCTTCATTGACAAACACTATTCGTTAGAATTGTGTTTTTCTATTGAAAAACAACCGGAGCGGTCCTTCTCCGGGCTATGTTTAGCATGGCTGGCCGCGAATTGGGGCAACTTGATTGGGGCCTAAACTTGTGGCTCGATTTTCGTAAAAATTTCAGTGTATGGGCTCCCGCAGGCGATCTACCTGTTGGCACCGGTCGCTTCTCGCTTAAAACCTCGTGGCACGTGGCACGTGCGTTTCAATTTTCGCCCATGTTAAGTCAATGGGGTTTTGGACACTTTTTGCGCGATCGCGAATAGCGGAAAAAATCGCAGGTCAAGGTATGGTTTGCTGCACACCATTTTATGGCCGACACGTTCAGGTACACGCCCCTGTGTACCGTATACCCGTAAAAAGTCGATATTTTTTGTAGTACGACTTTGAAGTTGAACTTTTTGCGCTCCCCATGTTAAGTCTATGGACGTTTTTGCAGAGACATTTTCATTCGTTCATTGCACAAAATTATATGATACGATTTTGTTTAAACTTTCAGGACCTCTTGAGAAACGACCATAGAACATGTTGTTATGCCTCATTATGAAATATAATGGGTATAATGGGCCCGTTTTGGGGTAATCGGCACGTGCATTTTCCCATAGGGTTAACATGGGAAAAAATTAAAATGCGATTTGCGAAAAATTTCGTCAATTATATTTGCTGATATTTTTAGGGTCGGATCTCGGGCTGGCACCCCAACTGACGGTGGTAATTACTTAAAATATAATTGACAAAATTTCGGGTAATCGTCACAAACAGTTACCCCATGTTGAGCCTATGGCGATTTCGAAAAATTAGTTTCAAATCGATTTTGTCAAAAATTTCCACGTTAGATTTTGAAAATGTTCCAATATGTTGTGCCCCAGGGTGTCGGCTACCACATGGTATGGGTCAGATATGGGGCGATTGAAAAGCACGTGCCACGTGCAAACGTGTTCGATGGGGTAACCTCCGGGAAAATCCGACATTGGCCAACTGGGGGTCCTATGGCGTGGAAACGACTTCAACTAGCGACACCAAATCAGTGCAGCCGGTGAGGAGATGAATCCAGCTTGTCGCACTAGTGGTCACGTGTCGCACGTGCTATTGCACGTGCCGTGGCACGGGGTCAATTTTGGTGCTTAAACATACTAGCATTGTGAAATGCAAGGAGTGGGGGAAATAGCCGTCAGGCCGTCAGTTTTTATGATAGGGTCGATCTGAAAATGGGTTTAGGCACATAATGAAGGGGGCTACAAAACTGCTATCTCGAATTTTTGTAAAATGAAAAATATAAAATTCTGGGGAAATTATATATTCGGAAGGTGAAATTTCCCTAAATTTTCCCGTTTTTCGAGTTTAGCCGTCCACTGTTCAGAGACGGTGACACCGGCCGGGGTCATCTTTTACATGCTGATGGCCACGTCGATGGGTCATCACGTGGCGTGAACGGTGAAACTATCAGAGGTCCGGCACGTGCCACGTGGCCACGTGTTTGAGTCGCGTACCTCCCAGATTATCGTGTATTTGCCGATTTGTGGCCTAAGTCCAATTGGGCTAGACTTTGGTGGGTGGATAAAATTAATAAAGTGACAGGAACGAATGCGCCACGTTTGTCGCAGTACGCCACGTTTGTCTCAAAGCGCCATTTTTGCCGCAAATCACAGAATGTGCGTAACTTTATCGAACATGGGACGATTAGGATGCGCTTTGATTGAGGGATGGCTGCCTAAACGGCAGATATGAATACACCACACTTGCCGCAAGGCGCCATATTTGTCTTAACCCGCGCCCAGATGGGGTCTGCCGAGCAACGCGGTCTGATGGGGGGGGGGGCCATTTTGGCCCCCCCCTCAGATCTCGAGAACCACGCAACATAGCGACAAGCGGTAAACGGTGTTGGATAGCCCCACGGGGGAACTACCTTGTGACCCAATTTCATTGACCTCGGTCAAACCGATGACGTCACAGGTCAGGTCAAAGGTCGAATTTTCACCGTTTACAGGCATTTCAAGAAATGCGTTGTAAAATCGTGTAAAATGCATTTCATTGAAAATCATCGATGGGGAAATGTTCTTCAAACACATATTTTGCTATTTGAGGTCACTGATACCAGGCCAGGTCACAGAGGTCAGGTCACTGGGGGGTCACAATTTGAAAGTGTCGTGTGATACATGTTTTATGGTCCATTTTACATGACAAATGCGATTATGTGGGTCAGACAGACTTTAGGGCCAGCTTAGGTCACGTTTTGGTCAAGGTCAGGTCAAGGTCAGGTCAAGGTCAGGTCAAATTAGGTCAAATTTCAAAGTTGATATTTTTGCATAAAATGGGTATCGATTCGATGCAGCTCGTCACGGGGAGTTCAATGGTGGTCTCCGTTTTGCGCTACGAGGTCTAGAATCGCTAAAAATTGAGTTCAAAAATTTGACGTCATCAATTTTTAATAGTTTTTTCGCTATAACTTGGCCAAAAAAAAGAGGTATCGATCTAAAATTTGGTATGTATATCGAAGAGCGCAGGGACTATCACATATATTCCGGTTTTTTCGAAATTCGGAAAAATTTTGGAAATTTTTTGAGTTTTTCTAAAAAAATCAATTTTTTTGATTTTTGGGGGTCAAAATCCAAAAATTTCGAAAATCCGAGATAGCAGTTTTGTAGCGCCGTCTTTTCTCTACACAACCACATAAAGAACTTTAAAATTGCTTGTTAACTGTAGAATTGGTGAGCGTTTCAAGATGTCATGTTTTCTGCTCATTTTTACTCGAACATGACCTCAGTTTGACCTCAATAACTCCTGACCTGAGGTGACCTGTGACTTGAAATTTTGTGTGAAGGTGTCAAATTGATGTCCGGTAAGGTACCCAAAATTTGGCGGCGCTGCGCGCCGCCGTTTTCTCGCTATTTAAGAAAAACCACAGGGGGGGGGGGGCAAAATGGCCCCCCCCATCAGGGCGCGGGTTAATGCGTCAGTGTTTATGTTTAACGGACGGTATTTTCATGTGCCACGGTTGGGGTGCAGCTGTACGTGCGCACGTGTAGGGGTCGCTTCAAGATAGCACACCGACTCCGGTCTGCACGTGCAAGGCTCATCCTCTCGTTTGGCGGCGGGCGTTTTTGCTGCGTTTACAAAGGTGCTTGCTCAAACAACCTGCGGTCCCGCGATGCGGAGCCCAGCATCGCAGATGCTGGTAACCGAAGGTTTGTTGTCAATAGTTAAAACACTATTCTTTAGAATTGTGTTTTTCTATTGAAAAACAAATCTGAGTTCCCTGACAATTTGGCAAAAGCTGCCTGAGATCAGTACAACTTGATGCTCTTGAAAACGGCTGGTCCAAATATTCTGATTTTTTCAGGATTTCTAGTGGGCCAGGTGATCTACGTTCTGGTATGGGTCTCCCCTCCGCGGACCATCTGGTGCACGTGCCACGTGACTTTAAAAATTCCCGTGTTAAGCCAATGGGGAAAATGAAAAAATGCGTTCCACGGCAGATTGCTCGAAAACGATCCAAACGACCCCCCATTTTCTTACATGCAGATCAACCACCATTCGGTGCACTACCCATGGGTATGTCGCAAAGTGGCCGGAAAAGTCCAGAACCACGTGCCACGTGCCGTTGAAAATGACCCTGCACATCGGAAATTGGGACTTTTGGTCATTTCGGCGCACCCATGATGCATACTATGGCGTGGGTGACCAAACAATGGGTGTCATCCGGTCGGCAACTGTTTAAGGTGTCGTCCAGTGGGCCAAAGTGGTAGTTTCAAACTTTTGGGATCCACCACTCTGGGGATTCTTTTTGACAATATACTTACGTTTCTTGGCGCAATGTTCATTCCACCCAGCCGGTCGTCAATGCGTTAGATGACCCAAATGACGATTGACCTGAAGGAAGTTGGGGGCGAGGAACACGCACGTGCCATCCGTTTTTTACTCGGGCGCTTTCATCTAGGAGATTTTTGCAGATACGTCAATGCGTTAGATGACCCAAATGACGATTGACCTGAAGGAAGTTGGGGGCGAGGAACACGCACGTGCCATCCGTTTTTTAATCGGGCGCTTTCATCTAGGAGATTTTTGCAGATATCTTTTTGATTTGTGAAAATGACCAGCCTAGCGGTATGCCAGCCGCTGATAAATTATTATCTTGCTGCGGCCGGGCGCTTATTTGCGGTGTTTGCGTTTGGCGGCTGGCGGGCGACTTTTAGTCGTTTTCGGTTAGCAGTTAGCGTCGGTGCGGTGCGGGCGGTTTTATTTTTTTCGGCGTTTCGGCGTTTTTTTCTGTGTGGTTTGCGGCGGTCGGGTGATTTTTTGCCGTTTGCGTTGGCTTTTCGGGCGTGCGTTTTACACGTTTTGCGGTGTTTACGTTTTGCGGCGGGCGGGCGTTTTGTGTTTTTTTGCGGTGTTTGTCTTTGGCGGCGGGCGGGCGGGCGGGCGATGCGGGCGGTTTTCTTCTTTTTTTTGCGTCGTTTGCGGTGTTAAATTTGTTTGCGGTTGGCGGGCGGTTTTATTGTTTTGCGGCGTTTTTGCGTTTTTTATTTGCGGTTTGCGGCGGGCGGGCGTTTGTTTATTTTTTGCGACGTTTGCGTTGGCGTTTCGGGCGTGCGTTTTGCGCGTTTTGCGGTGTTTGCGTTTTCCGGCGGGCGGGCGTTTTTCACAATTCAAAGTCCAAACCTTCGGGCCACAGCGTATTCACCGCTTCAAGGGTGAACCTGACCAAGAGCTCCATGTCTTCAGTGATGCCTCTGAGCAGGCATATGCCGCTGCTGTATATGTCGTATCCGAAAGCATGGGTGAGAGGTGCTCCAATCTCGTCCTGGCACGTGCCAGAGTGGCACCGAAAGCAAAGAAGAAGACGATCGCCAGACTGGAGCTCATGGGGGCGCTCTTGGGACTGCGTCTAGTCAAGAAAGTGTGCA